TATTCTCCACCGGCTTGGGGTGTTTTACTGTCGAAGGCTTTCAAGAAATTATCATACCGACAGATACCGGGTTAAAAACTCCGAATGATAGGAGATGTCAGTGGTTTTGATAGAAGATACCACAAATGCTTTATGTCTGACGAGAGAAAAGAGTCGTTCCGGTCCCGGGGGGCCCGCAAGGATGAAAAAGCCAGAAAAATATCAGAGACATGGGACGATAGAAACAAAGACTCAGAGGATCAGTTTAATTAAACCTGACTGCGTTGCACGAAATGACGCGGTGATCGCTATCTGGAGAGCATGGACCGACTGCAGACGTAGCCAGATAACCCTTATTCGAAAATATTAGATCTAAGGTGTGTTGGCCACAACTGGGGCTGCGTACAGTCTGGGGCCTGCCCTCTACACTAAGTTGCGCAAGCAGGAAGACGTAACGAGAAGGGCTCAAAATGGGAGACCAGCAAATATCCTGGAGGATGAAGTCTCACGAATTTAGACGAATGAGGAAGGGCATGTGCAATGGAAATCATACGGGACAAGTCAGTTGTAGAAGTTGGAGAGGGAGACGTTGGTAGATAGATACAGCCTACTAGTACAGGTCGTTTGGTCTGTTCTATGGAGATTCAGATAGCCTCTGGAATCCATTTTAGGCTGTAATCGTCAGTGGGGGTCGCGCGAAGTTTCGATTTGGAGTAGACGGCACAGCCTTCACCCCTTGAGTTTCTCCTGTCAAAGCGGTGAATGCTATAATCAAGGATTGAGATTGCTGTGTCCATGATTTCAACTGAGAGCCATGTTTTGGTCACACAAATCAGACTTAGTTGCGCAACGGCGATAATCGCACGGAGAGTATGGACTCTTGGCAGCAGTGAGCGGGCATTAAACAGCATCACTGATAGGTCCATGGGTGAGCACACCGTACTAATTAGGAGTTTGGTAACTTCGCTTACGGTGGAGTCCGCTGCTAGGGGGAAATAGGTAGGGTAGGTAAGAGTACATGAAGTAGAGTTGACAGGGCATGCGTTCAAAATAGGTCGAGGTGTACTTATCACTGGGGGTAAGCGGGTGAGTAGTGTCTGAAGTAGGTTTGAATCCACGGCAGAAGGTAGAACGCAAGGTTCATTGTGGGGTACGATATATCTCTTGAAGGCTGGTATTGGACTGGAAGCGGTCGAGGGTTGAGAAGTGTTTTGGGACATGAAGTCATTCACATCAACAGGGAGTGTGGAGAGTGGTATGGTGCAGAAAGTGGCGGTGGTTGGGGGGGTGATAGTCGCGCCCCAGAAATGGTCAGCATATGAGATGGAATCTGTGAGCAAAATGGCGAAGGTACATAAGAACTTCAGCTGGCCACTGGTATCTGCGGGTGTGAGGTTTCAGCAAGCTTGCGGTAAACGTGGTTTGGTGTATTTGTCATGTAATTATAGGGGGGTCGAAGCAAAGTCCAGTTATCTTGATAAGATTATAGGGAGGTCGAAGCAAAGTCCAGTTATCTTGATAAGGACAAGAGATAGATTCTCCAGGGTGTAGTTGAGGGTGCGTATTGCGTATTGACGTGTTGCGTATTACTACGTATTATTAGGTATTGCGGCCTCTACAGTGAATAGTTGAGTCCAAGGGCGTGTTTTGGCGGTGTAACGCGGCGATACAGCAAGTCAGGGTGTCTGTGACGGGACCGAGTGCTGTCAACGTCCGGTGTAGTCATTGCCCTGGCTAGTAGACGTGCCCCATTAGTCATTTCAGTACTACGAAAGAGTTCAACTGGGCTGACAGAGGCGTTTGCAGTTTTCACGGACGGCGAGACAGAAAGTCTATTTACAGAAGCATTGGAGGGCTCAGGTTCTTGTAAGTCTATCAAGCGAAAAGGTGTAACACGGAGGTACAGCAAGTCAGGGTGTCTGTGACGGGAACGAGTGCTATCAACGTCCGGTGTAGTCATTGCCCTGGCTGGTAGACGTGCTCCATTAGTCATTTCAGTACTACGAAAGAGTTCAACTGGGCTGACAGAGGCGTTTGCAGTTTTCACGGATGGCGAAGCAGAAAGTCTATTTCCAGAAGCATTGGAGGGCTCAGGTTCTTGTAAGTCTATCAAGCGAAAAGCTTCTGAGTAGTCTGGTGCGGGTCCAATACTTGGAGCAATTACGGAGCCTTGAGATAATGAACGCACCGTGGGAGAGTCGACGTCGTACTGGCAGTTGATGGTGCAACCGGTTTAGGGGGGCCTTCGCCTCAAAACGGAATCTTCAGTGACCCCAGGTAAACCCCGGCAGGCCTCCGGTGCGCAACGTGCTAGAGATCCTCCGGGGTGGTCCGCACATATCGTCCTCGAAAGGTTAGGGCCGGTAAATTTTCACCCGTATCCTGGTCACGGCACCCAATGAAAGGAGGTTATACGTGCTAGAGATCGTCCGGGGTGGTCCACACATATCGTCCTCGAAAGGTTATGGCCAGTAAATTTTCACCCGTATACTGGTCACGGCACCCAATGAAAGGAGGTTAGCTCTTTGCCGCAAGGTATTTATGAACAAACACGGGCTGAGCAGTTACAAGCGTTACACACCAAGGGCAAAATTTGGACCAATAAGAAAAGCAGAGCATAGCAGCTAGTGTAGCCTCTACGAACAGAATTAGCTGATCCGGCATAGAGCTTCATGGACAGGGAGTTAAACACATCTAAGGCCACGAGTTATCGGATAAACGCTTTCTACCGTCTAACGACATGCGCAGCCTTCCCGCAGATTCTGGTGTGTCGGTGTTTTCAAACCATGAATTCAGTGGTTGACCTTGTTTAGTCTCCACAGGGCACCCACAGTCTCAATAGAAAGTTCAAGCTTTCGAGCATCTTGTCTTAAAGTAGCTCTGGTGAAGTCCAACGAGGTATTTTAGGAACCAGAAGGAGCTACTTCAGTTGGGTGAAAAAAAATCACACGGCTGTACAGGATGAATCTTTTAAGAAGTGTAAGGAGCCCGGTAAGTGAAAACAGCATCGTGCCTGACGCACCTTTGCAGCGCCAATAACCGCTAGATTAACGCTTGCACTTTTGATACCATGTCTAGATTCTCAAGAGGTTTTGTGCCATCAAGACTTATGAGTCCCAAAGATTGAATGGGCACCTTTGCCCACATCGGTAGTGATCCATATGCCAAGTTTGCCTTAGGCCAGGTTACAGGAAGTCACCTTTCTGGAAGAAAGAACGACGATGCAAATGTAAACACATTCAAGCTTATCATAGTAATCCATTTCCTCCAAAGGTGTGCTTTGTTTCGTTTAGCAGGGTCAACGCTGTGAGTTCACTATCGAGTAAGACCGGTTCCGGAAGCTATGAGCTTTCAAGAGAGTTATATCTGAAGGATTTATCATTTACAACACTTTACTACAGGAGATTCCACCCGTAAGCTCACTTAAATGTACCGGAAACTAACGAGGCCACCAATCAGATGCAACAGAGTTAAAGCGTGCTTCCTGATATTGCTCATTTTGTGTTAAAAATGGAACAATCAACCACGCCTACAGCGTACTGTCTCGACAAACTGTGTCAAGCTAAAACTGGCGGCCAGTAGCACGAGAATTGCACTTCATGGAGTTTAACAAACCCATGTGTATGTTTTCGGTGGGTAAGTATATAACGGGACGACTGCGGCTATCTGATTACACGCATTCGGTATCTAGTAGTCAGTGGGAAAGAACAGACGTAGGCAGCAAATGGCATATTGGGAACTGTCAGGAACTCGTTCAATAGACAAACACGTATTAGGCAAACGTAAAATGAACAAGTGTGTAATCAGCAGGAGCAGAAAATAGTCATCGAAGCAGCAGAGGTTTCTGGAGGCAAAAGCGAGTAAGCACCCAACAATGTACAAATGCGCAGATACGCGCAGTCTGTATGTGTAAGTTTGCCGCATAGAGGGAGCGGCGCGGGGAATAATCAATACGTTCAGGAGGTAGGGAACTGTCTTTAATTGACAGCGCTACGCGGCAGCTCGTGTCACGTAGCAAATCAGATTGCGTGGCGAGGCACTTTCAAAATAAGTCTCATCAAAGTCCAATTAGTAGGTAATGTAAAAATAAACCCTTCAGTGTGTGATGTTGGAATGGTGGAAAGCAGGTTTGTCTATTCTTCGGGGAGCTCTGGGTTGAAGCATCGGCCAGTGCGTCGTTCTGTCAGAGCAGACCCTCGAAAATAGGTAGAACCGGGACGAGCTTGTGAGCATTGACGGGTGAGCAAAAAAATTGTCATCAGTCACTGAAAACTAAGCAGACCGCAGGTAAAAGTGAAACAGGAGAAAAACCAGCAGCAACAAGCAAAACGGCCTTATAATAAGCAGTCGTAAGTCATGTGTTGCACGAGCAGTCGGAACACAAAACGGAATGCCCGCTACTCACGATTGCTTCACAGGAAGAATCGACATGTGTTCGAGCTGACCAGACGAACTTTGTGGGCCATGCATTTCATGAACTCTTTTGGTGCTCCGCGCACTTAATATCGACAAGGCTGTTTCGCTTTGAAACGCTCGTTGTGACTCCGGCCAATTACCCAACCGCCCAAAGTCACTCATGATTAGCAGTGGTTTTTAGTTTAACTTTGTGTCAGCTGGCTGTCTCTCCCCACAAACTGGGAAAGAAACCCATTATTACTATTTCATCGGACACTTCCCACCGTTTATGGCATTGTTCTCTTTTCGCGCAATCCCAACTACCCGCAAATTCCACAGTCATGCTTCAATCTGACTGTAAACCTATGGTCATACCAGACGGTATACCATTCAAAAGTCGGGAATAAATATTATCATTATTAAAGTGCTTTTCGGGAAATGAAGAGCAGTCAGTTGTTGCCTCCATATGCTGAAAAAGGATCATTGGATTTTGTGTCACGTGCCGCAACACGCCCAAATACTGTAGACACATCTAGATTTGCAAAATAGCTTTTACATTTGACTCACCTGCCCCCATTCCAAAAAAATTTTGAAATTAAGCGGAATGCATCTGACTACCTTGCAAGTTCTGAGGCAAGATTGATGTACTCTAGATGTACTCAAGATGATCAGTGGGCCAATGGATGCCTATTAACTTTTTGTCGGGCGTTTTGTGTACTGTAGCTGAGGTCTACGTTCGTGTACCAAAACTGCATGAATGGATATGAAGTTCCTCATGGTTGACTACTGGTCCAAAACGCACGCAAAAGCAATGTTCATCTCTTTGGCGCGATGTATTAAGCATTGTGATTCGATCCAGCAGCGGAGCGTAAGTCTCAGTCAATGAACTTGTGATGCCGAGGGTAGCAGTGGTCGACAATAGCATTAATTCTCATAAGAATGATTTCCAGGAACAAGTTAACATGGTTTCTGAGGCTAATCCGCCGGTAAAAGTATCGACTGATCTGTTTTGCACTATTAAGTTTCGTTGTACAAAGTGGGTATTGGCTGACGCCAGCAAGACAACCAAACCTGGATAGTTTGGTTTGGAGCATTATCCACTGCAGTTGGGCCAGTGCTCTTCTGGAATGTGGGAGCCAACTGTATTCCGATGAAGCTTACGATAGCAGGTTGACCGAAAAGTGGTAAGAATTTATGGTAGGTCTCTCGTGGCTTCACATGCTCAGCTGTTTTGTTCCACTTTTTCTGTTTGCATAACAAACTGCGGGAGACCTTATCGCATTAATATCCGGCTGGGCAAGAAAATAGACCAAGGACAAGAAGCTATGAAAGAAACGGCTGCATATGTGAGGGCTCCCTATTCCTGGCCTTTTCCAGCTTTAAGCAATAGGGCGATTTCCACCTGTTTTCGTTTACCTGACTATTTCTCTCTTGGGGGCCGCTCTCGGGGCACATAATTAGCCACATTTTAGGGTTGTCCAACAATGTCCCATTGAGTAGGCCAGTGAAGTGTCTCGCAAGCACCGCAATTATCCGTGAGCCACATTTGCGTTTGCTGTCAATCACAAACTCCTCAGCGCTTCCCTTACAGCCTCCCGTCAAATTGTAGGCTTCACTAGTGGGCCTGAGTCCGTTTTCTAGCAGCATTTTACATCCACACAGCTGAATCCTGGCTTGAAGCTAAAAGATGTACACAGTGGCCACGACTATCATAATTAAACACGGCGAAAATAAACCTTATCGTCGAAAGCCACTTTTGAACGACCTATCAAGTGCTGAGGCTCGACTTTTTGGTTTAAAAATTGCATGATATTACTGTGCACAACCGGACAGGATGCGCACAACGGCCGCAGAATAAACTCGTAGTTATTGAAGATGTAATAACATATATCCAAGTGGAGTATTTTCGTTATGATGAAACTATCATACTTCTATCACTTGTTCAAAACAAAGAAGAGTCTAAGAACTTCTTCCTACCATCACTGTTCTGGTGAACGGTAAAAAACTTATTTACTGAGGAGTCGGATAGGAAGCCTATTAGCTGGCCAGCGGGGCTTCACAAAAACGTTTAGACACTTGTTAACACAACGAGCTAGGGAGCCAGATGGCCGTTCACTTTGGTAGAAAGGTTTTGCAATTTTCGCGGTGCGAGAATCGTCACCAGGTGCTAGAGTTCATCAAGTTGATTGTGAACACAACAGGCTAGAGAGCCAGATGGCCGTAGAAGAGGTTTCGCAATTTTCGCGGTGCGAGAACCGTCACCAGGTGCTAGAGTTCATCAAGTTGTTTTCCTCGCATCTCTGAGAGTGTGGACCACCCTAGCTCCTCTGTGGTGCGCGGGAATCATATAGTTACCGGGGTTTGGTTGTCCTTTTACATCCTGGGAAGTATGTTTCTTGAACAGCCTCTTGATAAGGATAACAGAGATAATAGCGTTTGGTGAACATCACGTTTTATAGGATATGTCTATCAAGAAGGGACCATATTCGTCTAGCATTAAACCAAAACCAAGGCCCATCAACCAAGCCCCGCATCCAACTCTCCTGTATGTTGTTAAATTAAAAAGCGTTAGGTGTGCAAGATTCTTTCAGATCCTTTGCGTTGATGCAAGTTTTAATCGATTGTGTAAGAAGGAAGAGCAACCTCCAGTTCGTAGGTCCTTCGTCCTGGTGCACGTGATTTGTCTCAGCGTGCAGTGCAGACACCCATCAAATTGCTTAACTATTATGAAAGCCTTAATATTATCAATCAGGAGATAAGGTTGCACCGGGCAACCACCCAGGCTTCTCAATATCATTTGGTATCAGGCAGTGAACACCTCTCAAAATCCAGGGACGTCCAAAGATGCGACGTTTCAGCCGGTAGTTTGAGCATTTGGTCGTTTGGCTGCAAGCGGCCAATCGGTGGTGCGATTCGCTTGCTCAAAAAAGGGAGACGATGGCACGTAAGCGCAAACTGGAAGTTGTTGAATTGATGCTGTTACCGGGTGAATTGCATTTATAAACATACATCGGGATGATGGTTCGTAGCAGCTGTAGATCCAGATTGGCGTATGCGCGCTTCGTGCAAATGTCTGAAAGGAAAAAAGCGCTAATGAATACAAGATCAATTTTTTTTACCAAGAAATAGCAACTATTATCCATACTTACAGTGTTTTTGTTGTCATGATGTTATTTAAAGCATGAGAACTCAACAAGAGGAAAGTACTCTAGCTGCCGTATATTTTCATAAAGGAAACTACTCACAGGGTTGATGAAAACTCTTCGGCAGCCCACAACCGGTTTCGCCCTTCTTGGGGCTCATCAGGTGGGCGCAGTCCTCGAGTTTCCATCAACCTCTTTCAGGAATGCGGCTTTTACCATTCTGTCGAAAGGCGCGCAGTTTTGTCTGGTCCTGCTTACCATGCGGGCATGTGGGCTGCAAAAATTGACTTGTTTGTAGTCGCCCATTTTCCGCGTTCATTGATGTGCTGTGTAGCTCTCCGCTGCTTTAATAAAGTCATGTATTTTTCTGTTCGGCATTAACAGGTGAAACTGGTCCTAATTTTTGTTCGCTTTCTTAATTCTGACACTGTATGAAAGTTCGCTTGTAAAGTGACCTTTCAAGCTAATAACGACTTAGTGGTCGTAACGGTCTCAAATAAGTTCCATATTACCTGTGACTCAAGCTGCATTTACGGGATTTTGCACAGTTAGACGCTTTGGATGCGTAAATGCGTTTCATAATAATTACCTGTGCGTATTAAAGAGGAGCCGAGCTTTGGTGTTTCCAAAATTGTATCTTTTCAAAAATCTCATTGATAATTTGTAGCAAGTGCCTAACCCACTGCCTGGTTATGGCGCATTTGGAACTCTCGAAGATAAGCCTAATTCTAACAGCCGAATCCACGAAGCGAAGAGTGCGGGAAGAACGGGCTAGACTTGGTATGCTCAAACGCGACAAGCCTAGAAGGCGGATTGACTCCATTGCAAGTTGGGATTGAATTGACCAAATATACAGCTGAGTCATTTTGAGGAGTTTAATCCTGCCTCCTGGAGAATATATTACCAATGTTAAAAGGATAATAAGACAAACCATCATTCGTTTTTTAATTAAACGAATTCCCGCGCTGACTATGGTCTACTTGTCGTGACGGTAAAAGCCAAAATGATTAGGGCTCAATCTCAGTAATTTCTTTAGGCATCCTGTAAACTTCCAAAGTTTGATTAGTTACTCGAAAACCGTGTGGATGACAAGCCAGCCGTCACCAGTGACACAATCGCAAACTTGCACCTTTTAGGAGAAGAAAAAAAGACTTTACAAACTTATGTGTAGCTCCGCAAAACAATCCATCTTCAATGCCGGGTGTTTATTTGCACCCGCAATTTTTCTGACCTGGTGATATCCTGCAGGCCGCAACTAGGACTGTGTTGAGCAGAACGAACTTGGAGGTCCATGTGCCACACAAAAAGGCCATCCACAAAAAAATGTGAACACACTGCGATTATTTTGATACCGCTCCAATCCGAACTCACAGTACAGCTTAACAGATCGACATGAACCAAAGGCGGAAGACGCTGCAGAGGCGGACTGGTAACCTACTTTCGCCGAATCTGCTCATTGCCCAAAGACAAAAGTAGCCGTAACAAGCAAATTCTGTGATGAGGATTGGCTCATGCAGGATTCAGGCCAGGTACACCCTAATCAGCGTTTTGGAAGCATATAGCGTGCTGCGTCATGCCGCTGGAGGAATCCGCGTTTACGCTGGTTTAATTGAGTAAATGTATTTTAGCGGTTGACCTACACGAAAGCAAGGGAGGCGTGGAGAATTGTATGGGCGCTGTTCTCCATATTCATAGGTTGTTTGCACAGCTAGATGTTAGAGCGGTGGTGTATTAGTTCCCAGTCAGCTTGATATTTATTTAAAAGGAAAATTTTCGCAGAATGCTTTCGCTCGCATAAGAGTTTCGCCCAGTGAACCTCATTTGAATCCCAGCCAGATCATATTTTTCAACTCAAGTGCAACAAAAAGACTAATCCATGTATGTGTTTCCACTTTATGCATCGCAATATAGCCTCTTGGAGAAATCCTTATAATGGACACGTTTAGTGTTGCAGTTTTCGAGGGGTACCTGCTAGACCCAGCTTCAGACTTGACAGCTGGGTATCTCCTAATGGCGAAAATATGTAGTCCGGTGGAGGGGTGTTCCCATAAGATGTGAAGAACGTTCATTTGAGAAGTTACTGCTCAAGCGACCAAATCATCTTTACCCATATCATGTGAATTCTGTGACTGAATTGTGGGTGGCGCTATATTGCGTCTAATTGTGGTCACATGTGGCAAAATAACTGTGGTTAAATTAATAACCGGGATCTTGTGCGTTTAAACGTTCTGATGCTTCTTAAGACGCGTACCGCAAAAGATTTACAATAAAGATAAATCAACTGTAGGGTGCTCCGAGGTTTTTACGTATAGATTTGCTTTATTTTCATGATAATACCGAAATTGGAAACGGAATTTGACTGCAAAAGAATGTTTTCCGCGAGCGTTGTGCTAGTTTGGATGGGGTCAAGAAATTTTATGTATATGTAATGTGCCGTTAGGCGGCTTCAGCCATCTTATGGGAGGTTTCCTTCAAAAATACGTAGAATGCATGATAGTATTTTAAGCAGTATATCCTCAGAGATGCTGGAGGGCGGTGGTCAACACAAAAAATATACGACAGTAAATAAGTTTCAGCTTGTGAATATTAGCAGGAATTCGAGTTGAGTTTTCGCAGCAGTGGATTTTGGGCACAGTAAGGGTCGCGTAATCGAATGCGCCTAAGTATGACAAACATGGGCGTACGGATTGGGGTGTTTTGCACGTGGCTGACAGAGACCAAATACAAAACGGCTTAGCAAGAAGCGCCGAGTCCAAGTAGCTAAAGTCAGTTTCGATCAGTAACAGGTTAAGTTACACATAGTTTGGGGGCTTGTCGTTCCACTAAGTATCATTGCTGAAATTCACCAAGAGGAAAACTCTCCAGTTTAAACGAACTATATTCCTAAATGTGGCGTTCATCAATGGAACGATGTGAGGTGCCAAATCATTACACTAAATTACCACCCGTTTGCATCCTAAGGATGTATAAGAATCAATTTGAATTCCCTCCATCTTAATGGTGAAAACCCCGCACCGATGAAAAACGAGATCAATTGAAATCTGCAGCCGCAGCGGTGCAAAAATTGTTTACAAATCTAAGTCAGGTACGGTGTGGAGGAATGCTTGCACGAAAACTCCGTTCCAGTGGACAACTCACCAAAAAACCAAATAAGAATGCTAAACAGGGCTCACAACAGCCTCATATTTTACGAAATGCCAACTCATCGTCTGCATCCCTGTAGTCAAATTTTCCAAAGGTACTTCAGACCTCATTCACAGGAAATACCTGATCTTTTAAGGCAGCCTGGAATGGATCCGACTGCGCGCCCATTTTCTGGGATAATCATCGTGTCAGCCTCGTGAGCTTTCTGGACAATGATCCTGTGCAACTCTTTCATTGAAGCCGGCCAGTTTAAATTGATCAACAAAGATGCGCATTCCTGAGAAGTCTGCATAACATACGTTTCAAATACAAGTTTGGGGTCCGGGATTTCCGGCCCAGTCAGCAAACAGTTTTATTATGTCCCGGTGGGGCGTTGATCACCACCTGATCAACGAAGTGTCCTTCGATTTGGTAATGACCAAATCCAAGAGGGATGGTAGTCGAACCACACGGTATCTGGTGGGTGCAACGTGTTGAGTCCGAGCGCTCTGTTGAACGACTTTGGCTAGCGCTGCCGCAAAGTGTTCGCTAGACCTGACGCGCTGGGACTCCACAAGGGAGGCCCTGAGGGCGTTAAGATCACCTACCAGAAAGAGGTAAGTAAATTGGTAGCTGGAGGAGAGTCGCCCAATGGTTTGTGTGAGGAACTGGTCATCTTCCGGAGGACTCGACGGGCGACGGTGGACCATATCGAAAAGGAGAGAATCGGACACACGCGGCGGGATTTGAATCCATAATGCATCCGAGAAGTGGCATCGGAGGGGGCAATCCAGATGTGCAGGGATGCATGTAAACATAAAGCAGCCTCATCAGCCCTCCCTCGTTTTGAGTCACCTCGGAAAACAGAGTAGCCGTCTATCAAGATCCCCGCGTCAGACACACCTGGTGTGATCCAGGTCTCCGTGAGTACGATTATGCACGGCTGTTCAAGGCGAACTGACAGTGTGACATCTCCTTCCCCTGGAGCGGGGTGCTTTGCACGTGGTTGACAGAAACCAAATACAAAACGCCTTAGCAAGAAGCGCCGAGTCCAAGCAGCTAAAGTCAGTTTCGATCAGTAAGAAGATAAGTTACACATAGTTTGGGGGCTTGTCGTTCCACTAAGTATCATTGCTGAAATTCACCAAGAGGAAAACCCTCCAGTTTAAACGAACTATATTCTTAAATGTGGCGTTCATCAATGGAACGATGTGAGGTGCCAAATCATTACACTAAATTACCACCCGTTTGCATCCTAAGGATGCATAAGAATCAATTTGAATTCCCTCCATCTTAATGGTGAAAACCCCGCACCGATGAAAAACGAGATCAATTGAAATCTGCAGCCGCAGCGGTGCAAAAATTGTTTACAAATCTAAGTCAGGTACGGTGTGGAGGAATGCTTGCACGAAAACTCCGTTCCAGTGGACAACTCACCAAAAAAACAAATAAGAATGATAAACAAACAGCACAACAGCCTCATATTTTACGAAATGCCAACTCATCGTCTGCATCCCTGTAGTCAAATTTTCCAAAGGTACTTCAGACCTCATTCACAGGAAATACCTGATCTTTTAAGGCAGCCTGGAATGGATCCGACTGCGCGCCCATTTTCTGGGATAATCATCGTGTCAGCCTCGTGAGCTTTCTGGACAATGATCCTGTGCAACTCTTTCATTGAAGCCGGCCAGTTTAAATTGATCAACAAAGATGCGCATTCCTGAGAAGTCTGCATAACATACGTTTCAAATACAAGTTTGGGGTCCGGGATTTCCGGCCCAGTCAGCAAACAGTTTTATTATGTCCCGGTGGGGCGTTGATCACCACCTGATCAACGAAGTGTCCTTCGATTTGGTAATGACCAAATCCAAGAGGGATGGTAGTCGAACCACACGGTATCTGGTGGGTGCAACGTGTTGAGTCCGAGCGCTCTGTTGAACGACTTTGGCTAGCGCTGCCGCAAAGTGTTCGCTAGACCTGACGCGCTGGGACTCCACAAGGGAGGCCCTGAGGGCGTTAAGATCACCTACCAGAAAGAGGTAAGTAAATTGGTAGCTGGAGGAGAGTCGCCCAATGGTTTGTGTGAGGAACTGGTCATCTTCCGGAGGACTCGACGGGTGACGGTGGACCATATCGAAAAGGAGAGAATCGGACACACGCGGCGGGATTTGAATCCATAATGCATCCGAGAAGTGGCATCGGAGGGGGCAATCCAGATGTGCAGGGATGCATGTAAACATAAAGCAGCCTCATCAGCCCTCCCTCGTTTTGAGTCACCTCGGAAAACAGAGTAGCCGTCTATCAAGATCCCCGCGTCAGATACACCTGGTGTGATCCAGGTCTCCGTGAGTACGATTATGCACGGCTGTTCAAGGCGAACTGACAGTGTGACATCTCCTTCCCCTGGAGGATCGTCGCCTCCGAATGACCTGATTCTTACTTATGCCCTGTTTGAACAACATTTGGCCAACAGGTTTTTCACCGTTGACCCAGCAAACACCCGGCTGGGACATAGTGAGATTTTCAAGCTCAGAGCGCACATATTCATCAGGCAAAATTTTTCTCATTTCCAGTAGTAGCTGCGTGGAATGACCTCCCTCCGACGGTTGTCCACGCTCCTTCTGGAACCCAGTTCAAAACACTACTAGACATATATTTATGCAAATCCTCGCGCTGGCAGGCACACTACCCCGCATTGAGAACATAAAGAGCATTGCTACGCTCTTTTTTCATTTGCGCCTTTCAGGTGAACGGCAGCCTCTGAACGGCAAGAATAAAACCGACCCGAGAAACTTGGGCGAAAGCCGTGTACCCATCCGTGAATCCGTGAACACTTTGGGTAAAAGAACCACAGATGGTGCGTGTAGTGTATTAATCGCCTAGAACCAGGTAGATATATACAGTGTGCATCATATTTGAGGTGTACTAGTCGACAAAATCGTGGAGCCTTCGATGCCTCCTAGGAACAGTTCTCCCAACCAGCATACTGCTGACGTTCAATAATGATTGGCTGTTGAGTCCAGACTTTCGGCCAATCAAAACTCGGATTGAAGCTGGACCGATCATCTTTGCAGTCGCCTGCTGGTAAGTTTTCTTGGCGGCAGTAGCGTCCACTGCAACTGTTGGAGCGGATAGCTGCGAGATTCTGCTTAACAGTGGTTGACAAGATTTGGTGGGCAAAAGTGCCTGGAGAGAGCTGTCCGTGCTGCATCCTGGCTAATGGAGTCGACGCTTGCTAGGAGACTGGCACAGAATGACTGGCTGTATTCCCGGGCATTTTAGTGGAGATATTGTAGAGGAATAATCAAGTTGTACATGTCCCAATTAGTACGGAATCTACATTGCTCTCCGGGAATCTATGCAGCTACCACATTACCGGCTGAGAAGCACTGATATCAGAAGCTTGTCCGTGCTGCGTCAAAATCTTCGTCATCTTGCGCTACATTTCTGTTGTGCACATAGTCCCAATCGTGGATCAGATCAATACAAGCTTATCTCCGCACATCAACAGATGTGGGCGAAATCGATGTCCATCGAATGTATGGCGAGGTATGCAATGTCATACCTGCAAGTCCTGGTGGCACTTTAAATCTACGGGTTTAAAAAACAGCCAGATAGGCCAATTATCCAAGTTTTCTGACCTCTTTGCGCCAGCTGCCTCTCCCTTCAGGTTGCTATGCATTCTGTGACTAAAAATAGTGATAGCAAAAACGAGACCAAGTCCCCACTGCCGAATGGAAAAAATCAGCGCGAGTCTTCCGTTTAGTTTAAGATACTCGACGCCGCAAAACTGCACTTCTTTCAAAAGTTGTCGGGGACACAGGCACACACACAAACACACGGAACGAAAGTCGATTATGAACTTTATTTACTGAACAAGCAACTAGCAATATCCATCCCGGGTACGCTGGCTTCGACGAGGATCATCCAGTTCTCTGATGTGCCAAACAAGACCGCCACGGCATCTCTAGTGAACAGGCACATGAAGAAGAACAAGTTAATCATCTGAGGTATCGTTCTTTAGGAAAATCACACCAACGTAACTCGCCCATTTGCTCCTCGGCGGTGTCCCCATAAAGCCTGAACAGGAATTGCTTCGGGCAGAGTGGTTACGTGTAAATAATAAAAGTGAATTTTTCAGCCGCAACACCCTTCCAGTGCCTAACTGCCGTGCCACCCGAAGAAAGCACGAGGGCTGGGATACTGACGGGTGGCTCAAGCCTAGACAGGGAAGTCGAGTAAGAGGTTAGGTGCGAACCACGGACCCTCCGGTCAGTACATTCGCGCTCTAAACACTTGAACCACCTGGCCCGCTTAGTTACATGTAAAAGACAGTAAACGAATATCTGGGCTTTAAGGCACCATCTCTTCTATATGATGTAGGGAGGATATCGGAGCAGGTTGTCAGTATTCGAAAGACTTACTCATCGATCAAGCGTATATCCGAGGATCGCCCTCTAGGGGCACAGAAGCCAGGCCACAGAAGTCATAGAGGAGAAACGCGAAGAAAGCTTCTGCTTGACTCTATTGAATGTGATCAAAATTCTATGGCCAAACCGATGGATGCTATGGCCCGTTGTGCTCTTGAAAGCACGCCGACTCGACCGAGCGCGTCTCCAGATTGCAGTTTCTACTCAACTACCACAGATCACTTGACTTACAAAGGCAGCGATCCTCGAGAGAAGGCAAGCCTGGCTTGGACGCAGCGTCCAAAGTACGTAGAGCTATCATAGCTTATTTCCGTAGCAGGTGATCAACACCCAACGGTGAACTTTACATCCAAGTGACAACTTATTAGCTGGATTTGGTCAACCGTGCAGAGACAAGCGGCGAAGCCCACTCACTACTCAACCATAAGCATAGACATCGACGTTGGGGGTACTGCAAGAATGTTATACCCACTGAGAATGCGAGAAATCTAGTATACAGCTACTCTTCGTTAAAAACGGCATCTCCGATTGTGGACACAGTCCTTGCCCATGACTCCAACAGCCGAAGCCGCAAACATGACAACAGCAAACCGAAAAATCCAGCGCACACCCAGGTAGTCACGCTGATCGCGGGCGACTCGGGAGTCCATACAAACACGAAGAGAAAGCGACCGCAGTCGAACGAACCACATAAACTCCACTAAATTACGAAGATGCTTGCCTGCTTCAGGGTGAGGTCCTCTGCGAAAACGGACCTCACGGGAGTGCTAGGAAAAGGAACACATCTCAGTGCAGCTGCCAACCCACGCAGCCCCACAGAATCACCTTATGGACCAAACCGCGCCAAAACACCAAAAACCAAAGCCCGCACACTTGCTCTAAA